GTCTTAGATTCAAGAAAATATCAAAATAGGTTGAAATATCTTGTTCATTGGCATGGATATGATATTAGTGAATACACATAGAAACTAGTTAAGAATCTTATAAATGTAACAAAGAAGGTTGATGCTTTTCATTAATGAAATCCATAAACCAAATCAAAGATATTTTTTTATATGCATGATGTATCAATAATATCCAAATTTAAGATAAAAAATAATAAATCTTTTTAATCAAAAAATATATTTTTTATTTTCTATCTTTGTTTGTAATTTATATATATTTATTTTATTAAAGAAATGAAGAACCAACAATTAGTAGATTTATCTTAAGAGCTATCATTTGTTGACTTATCAAATGAGACATTGCAATTGTCACAATCTTCAAGACAATGTAATCAAGATGAAGACCCTCAAGAACAATAAGTTCTTCCTCAAATTAATGGTAAGATATAATATGTTTGATATCATGACCTTAGGAGAGATTCTTGATGTTTGGTGATTTTATTAGAGGTAAAAATGATTCTTAATGGTCTTACAAATTTTATATTTGAAAAAAATTATAAAAGCCTCAAAATCAACAAAATAACATAGTGATCTTTCTACTCTAGAATGGAATATTATTGATAGCTGAGTGGTCCTATCAACTACCTTCAAAGAGAATAAAGATCAAAATATGTGGTAAAAATAATTTGTCGCATCTAGGACTTCTTCAATATATGATGACCGCTCTTCATAGAACTCATTTTTAAAATGGAAGATAATATTATAGATGTAAATATTTATTTAAATAATAAGTATTAGATAGAAGATAAATATAGATAGATTTGATATTATCTTGTAGCAAATCTTCTTAGAAGCTTCATAGACACGTATTAAATTTTATATATGTTTAAAGTTAATTGTTAGGTTAAAAATTTAACCAACAAGTTAATCATGTGTTGCATGTGTGGATAGCTTATAATACAAACTAATAATGTGGCACACATATAGAAAACTTGCCCTACAAGTTAAGATATATAACTTACAAATTAAACATGTATTGGAGGTCCTATAGGATATCACTATTTAGCATTTAGTTAGATAGTATATATGGAAGCAAGAGTGAAGCCGTCTTTATTCTTTTCAATTTACTTTTAGTCCTTAGTCTTATTTCAAGACTTTCTAGTCTTCTTGTCTTTGACAATAGCCATTCTAATTCAATATTATACTAGCTTTGAGTGATTTTTTAGTCTTTTTGAATGACATAAGAGTATATTAAGATTTTTTTTTAAGATTCATATTCTTAACAAATTATGATTTTTAATAGCTAAATTAATTTATAATTTCTTATTTATAGAATTAATAAATCCATTTTAATTAAAATCTTAAGATAATATATTCTTTAATTAATAAAAAAGTTTAAATAAATAAGTATTTACAATAGAAATCTAACCACTTAAAAATAAAGAAGGATATAAAAATCAATAAAATAATTTTAAAAGCTAAAAATAAGTATTGATATAAAGATTCCTAAATAAATTAAACTTTTGAACTACTACCAAATTGATAAGTAGGCAAGAAATAACTTAAAAAATTAAAACATTTTAATAGCCAAAAGAAAATAAAGCTAAAGAAATTTTTATAGTACCATCACAAAAAATGGAACGAGCTTAAATTATAAAAACAAGATTGTAAGAAAGAAAATGAAGTATTTTTTTATTAGTTATTATCTAATAGCCAAAAGCATAATAACCCTCATGCTCTAACCTAAATAATATAGAATATTAGAAATTCCTTGTAAATTAGCAAGGACTATCTTGTAAGGCAAAATATTCTTATGTACCTAATAGTAAAGTAATATTATAAAAAAAAATTAAAAAGAACCTATATTAGAAAATACAATGGAATATGAAATTATAAATAGTTCTTTAATCAACAAGTTTCTTACTTTTTAGAAGTTATATTAGAATCAACCTATAACTTCATGTTTAGGCCACAAGCCTTGTTGACTTTAGAAAGATTCTACAAAACCTTCTTTGTAGCTAATATATATACATACAAGATTAAAGCCATCTTTAATTTTATCAATTCCTTTCTTACAAACTACTCTAGATTCAAGCCTTTCAAATTTCTTTATATTTGGCAATAGTCATTCTATTTTTTATCTAATCCTATAACTATCTCTTTTTTTCTTTTTTTTTCTTTTTTTTAGTAATATATGAATGTATTGTCTTTTAAATTTTGTTTCATTTCATATCCTTAAGAGGTATTGGATTTATAAGGAGAATATAAATTTGAAAACTTATATCATAGTATTTAAAAAAGAATTGAAGGCAAATAAAAAGACTAATGAAAGACAAACAATATTAATTTATTTAAAACCATGTTTAAGAAAGAAATTTAAAATTAGCACAATAAGTTTTTTCATAGAGCTCAACATTGCATTTAATCAACATTAAAATCAATAATTTATTACCAAAATATATATAAGAACAAACAAATGTGATAGTATGTGGTTATTAAAAAAATCAAAAAAAAGATCAAATAAAATTTTTAATTAAATCTAAAAATAATTTATAAATTTGATTAAAAATTTCTTAAATTAACTATTTTATTTTTATTATGATTTTATATATATTTAATGGATTCACTTTAATATGCACTTATATAAACTTTGTATAATAATTGACTTGAAAATTTTAGTAGTCAATATCTAAAAGCATTGTAATAATATATAAATCAAATTAGAAAAGAAAAAACTTGTCTTTATTGAAAAAAGCTATAGCAATGAAAGCCACTTCTAAAATTGAAAAAAGAATTCTTATAAATAAATAAGATTTTTTAAAGCATTTACAAAAATAATATTTTTTTTTAATCCAAAAAATCTCAAATATTAATTGTGTGTACTTTTAAATTTTAAAAAATCATTTGGTGTAAATAACATTTATATTTAAAATACCAAAAGCAAAATCTTTGGAAGATATTTATAAATAAGTGCTTAAAGCAACACTTTTTAACCACATTACAACAAAGTTTTTTTTTGTGCTATAAGCAAAGTATTAAATGTTATAATTAATAAAAGTATAAATATTTAGAAATTATTTTTTAAAATCTATATAATAAGAATTTTAGAAAAACTTTAATCTATGACAAAATTTAAATTAGTATCTATCATAAATATATAGTTAAAAAAAACTACAGTAACCAACATAAAAATAATTATCATCCAAAAAATATTTTAAAAAATTAAAAAAAATAATTTTTTTAAATAAAAAAGTTTATGTTTAAAGACAAAATATGATTAGAAATCAAATAAAAAACTAAATTTCTTTTTATCAAGAAAATTTTAAAAAATAAATAAATAAATAATAATACAATAATACAAACTTATAAATTATATCTAAGAAATTATTATACACTAGACAAGCAAGAATACAATTATTTAATTAGAAATCAACATTGTTCTAAGAATCAACTAAACAATATTTAGTAATAACTGTTTCTTGATTAATTAATACCATGGCTTATTAAACTTTAGTCAATTTAGTCAGCTTGATCTCACAAATGCAAATTAAAGTCTATAGCATTTCATATGTGATTAATTTAATTATCATTTTTAACAAAGTAGTTAGAAATATATACAATTTATTGTTAAAGCTATAATATTTGGTTTCAATTAAAGTCATATATAGTGCAAACAATCATTATGATGCTATTTGTAGATACCAAATTTCTTAAACCATCAATGTACTATGATATTAGATGTATGTTACTTTTATATTAATTTTTTGAGCATTTTTTTGTTTCAATTTAATCCAAATTATTACACATAATCTTGGAAGTATAAACTAAGTCAATGCATTATGATATTAGATGTATGTTACATAATTGCTCAATGAGAACTTAATTTAGCTATTGTCATCTAACTTCAATTTATATATTAAAAAAATTATAACATATATATATGATGTTCTTTTAAACATTTTAACATTTTATTCAAAATCTTAAAATCAACCACTTTCTTATTTTTTAATAAGTTCTAAAGCATTGTATGTATAAATAATATATAAATAATATATAAATACTTATTAAAAAGATATTATGCAAGACTAAATATAACTAAATATTAATCAATCATAAAGTATAAAAAATTCTAAATAGATAAAAATATGTGTTCTGTATATTACATCAAAAAAATAAAAATAAAAAATCATAGACATAAAACATAAAATAAAATGCATCAAAAAACCTTAATAGAATAATTATATGGAAGATTCTTAAAGAATGTTTAAAATATTATTTATGATTATATATATATATATATATATATATATATATATGTTCTTTATAAGGTGTATTGTATGAATTGTATGTTTTGGTGATGTAATCAATATTTTACATGTTTCATCCCTTAAGTTGTTTGAAAATTCATACAATTAAAATTGTAAGTCATTTAAAAAGTTGGAATATTTTTTAATAAAACTCATCAAAACAAATATAATATTAATTTAAAATAGTTTATATAAACCATATTATCAAACTCTTAAAATGCATATTTATATCTAAATATATATACATATATGAGAATGTTGAATAGACTCATGCTTTTGCTAAAAATCATGATGAAGAATATGGTAATCATGATGAATGTAGTTGATTTTTATTGGTTGCAAATCCAATAATAGAGAAAAATCATTATTTTTTTCATGATGGTTAAGATGGGTGGGTCAATTTAGTAAAAGCTTTGGTCTATTTAACATTCCCCTATATATTTATATATATATATGGTTAAGGGAATTAATAATCACATAACGTTATGCTATGGAGTTTGTAGTTCCACAAGGAAGTTATGGCCACAACATATAGTCCTAACCTCGGGAAGTAACTCATAGGTGGGCTGCAATGAAAACCCAAACCACCATCCATTCAAAATTAGTTTTACCACTTTCATCAAGATCACAGAAACCGTTTCCGAACGAGTTGCAACGTTTGATACACAAAAACAGTTACACTGGCGGATTCGGTTTCGCAGCAATTTGGAACTCAATGTGATTAATTTGTATAACCGAGAATACAAAATTTAATCAATCCCGGCTTTTAATAACGATTGAACAATTCATAATTCACAACGAAGAGACTCCTGGCAGACTGAGAAGTGGCTGTCGGTGGTTCTAATTTTATGGAGTGTACGAGAGCACTTGAGAGGCAAATCCGCTACAGGGTTTTAGGAGCGGGTTGAGCGGCAATAGGAAGCACAGAATTTCCAAAGGGTGACGAAGGACGGGAGGTTGGCAACGGTATCTGAGTCGTGATCTGTGCTTTCACAGATGCAAACTGCTGCTCTATGTCTTTGAAAATAGCGTTGTTCTTAGACGACTTGGGCCTCAACGTCAACAGTGCAGAGTCCAAGGTCTGCTGCATTTCAGCTGCTGAAGAGGGCCTGTCAGATAGTGTCTGCATATACAGCAGAACATAATGCAATTATCAGTAGCATAGTGTTCAAGGCTTAATCAACCATAAATTTTTAGGCATTCGAAGCATACACCAAATAATGAACGTACTTATTCATGCAAGTGGAATATTTGCAAAGCACACCACCGTCGATACGTGCTCTAGGTAGTTTCAAGGTACATACCTGCAGCATAAACAACGTAGCGACACATGAGGTCATGAGCTCCACAGGAAACGTGCAATCCTTAATTGCACTCTGCTGAGTCTCAGTATGGTTGAGATCCTGCGTTAGATCTTGGGCAGCTACCTTAAGAGTTGCAGGCCTCTGACCAGGTTCACTTATATCAGCTTGAGACAACCTACTGGAGATAGCTACAGTCCCGGTGTCAACTTCGCTGTTATCCTCTGTGATTGAAGATGAAGACGACTGAACAAGTGACCCTGGCTGAGCACTTGGTGTACAAGCATCCTGGGGTACATCACCTTCACTAGTTGGAGCAGGATAAAGGGATAACTGAAGTGGAGCTGATACGGATCCTGGAACAGATATAGCATCCAGTGCGCATCCTAATTTTTGAAGAGCATCTTCTCCTGTTTTTAAATTATCCATGGCCTGCATTCCACAAATAAACCATGTTTGAGATCCACGTTAAGATCCCTTTCGAAACTGTGATAACTCACTGCAGTAGATTTGATTTCATTGGACAACGCAAGTTTGGAAGAGAAAATTAGACATACCTTCACTGCAGTGAACACCATGAGGTCGGCTTGCTTTCTAGCCGAAACAGCTATCTCTGAAAGGACCGGGGTTCTGTCCAAGGCCCATGGTTCACTAGGCTCCGCCGCATCTAAACTTCCTTGAGTTATCAACCAGTACCATGGAGGAGCAGCGTTATCTTGATACTTATTCCTTTGCCGCAACTGAAGTAGAGCATATGTAACCTGCTGAATGTTCACAACAAGAACTTCAAAAACAAGCTTCTATGACATGCAAGCGCTATTCGATAAACTCATGAGGTAGATTTAAGACCCATGAGTCACAAGCTACTCAGCTAGCAACTACGGTTTTATTAACAAACTTCAAAGACTGAGTTCTGAAAACAAAGTCCAAGATACTTGAAAATCCTTTCTTCATCTCAAAAAGATGTGGCATAGGAAAAGACGGCCAAGGTGACCTGACCTATAGTTTGACAAATAGTTGTGTTGATGATTCATGTTCAGCCAAACGACGGGATATATAAGTTTTACTGAACAGCACGAACCGCCTAATTGGGCTTCAAATCCACAATGAAAAACCTTAGAATTGAATTCAACCCAAGTTACCAACGAACGTGCCAATAACAAGAAAGTGAAATTTTACGGGACCTGCTCGTTCACTTCCTTCAGTTGGAGAACGACCGTGGCATACTGACGTTGAAAGGTCTCAGGAGTCTTAAATCCCCCTCGACTGCTACTTGCGTCATCATTCATTTGCCGAAACTCCAAAACAAGCGCTTCCTGCTTACAATCATAGAAGAATTCTCACTCAAAGAACAGAAAAAAAATGTACTATGGACTCCAACATATCAACCTGTTTGTTGTCCTGTGAAATTCGCAATGTGCAAAGGCGATCATTAGGTGGAACACATATGATACCGCAATTCCTACCTTTTTATCAAGTGCACGTGAAAGTTCAGCCAATGCCCATACTTCCGCTTCCCTTGACTGAAGACCACTTCGTGTTTGGTGCGGGCCAACTCTTGAGGAGGCTACAGCAGACTTAACGGTCATTTCGTTTGCCTCACGAACCGCTCTGTTAGTAACTTCTTTTGCTTCTCGTACAGCATCTAGCGTGTCAGCCTGTCCACACAATTCCACCATTTTGAGAGGGATAATGAATTGTACAAGGCAAAGAGCTCAGAACGTACTGAAATCATATCATAAACTGAACTTGACAATCGTTGATTTCAGAAACTTTAAATCAACATTTGTCAAACAATTACAACAAGAGGTTTATTTTTCAAATTGTGGTCGAGTGACTGGCTGGTCAATAGTTGATAGGTATTTATGCTGGCTAACAGCAAAGATGGTTGGACAGCCGTATAACCTTAAGTAGCTCCATGAACGGATATAGAGTACCTGATATTATGATACGAAGAATTTGTGAGATTAGACATCCAATATCGTATTTCTACCGACACAACAACATTGATAGAAACCACATTTGAGCCTAGTCACATACCTATGACCAACTAGAAAGGTTGTTAATAAAACGTTGTGTTAACATGGTAAACCGAAGCTCCAAGCGCTCATTTAAGGCTGCACGTGCAGCTCCTCCGACACCACTGGAGATACTCCACGTCTTCAGCTTCGATAACTGAGTGTGCGGTCTATCCCTTGCACTGATGTGAAACGCCGTCGCATCACTTCAGGCATGTTACCAAGTACATTTGCAGGCATCGCATCGATATCCTGAAAACGGTGCGAGGAAGTCAGACCATGATAACGAAAGCCAATGTTCAGAACCTTCATATAAAATAATGTCGAAAGCTGTATAAATCTCATGTGGGATACGGCGCTTCTAACAAGGCATGATATTCGATGATTCCAGATTTTGAATTGAATCAGATAAACAACTCAGATTTCAATACATAACGATGATTGTAAAAACATGCACAACCTCGTAACAGTTTAGACTAACGCTGACTTAGATCAGTCATCTTAATTATTGCACCAAGGAGACAGGTGGTATTAGCTATCTCAACTTCCCTTCAAACACCAGAGAAGGGTTGAGAAGTTGCTACATTATGCTGGAGTCGAAGGACTTACCATGACCAGTTCCACCCCTAACTCAGGTATCAAACTGCACTCGACAGCGAGAACGATCGACTGTAAGGATACTCCCATCGTGTATTTCGCGCGTCCTAGGGTGACGAGCAATTACTTTCTGACCCACCGTCAAGGGACGAGCTAAATCAGTGGGTAGCCCTTCTCTAAGGCCAGTTCGAAGTTCATGATAATGTGTGCGCACTGACTCACGATATGTTTCTAACTTTTCCCTCTCTTCTTGTAGAAATCGTTTGGAGAGTCTTCTGGGTTTCCCAAGAGAGCTGCATACACAGGACGGCAATATACTTGTAAAACCCCGTTTTCATGACAGAAAGTGTTCATTGGCACTCCCACCTTTAGTTATCAACCGAATTCAATACAATCAGTAGATAACTTACCCTCGTATAACACCCCACTCGATGCGTGTGAGCCTTGGCACATGACCAAGGCCTGCATGATTCAGATACTTAACAAATTCATTACGTGCGAACCAAGGAAGGTCGATAGCACTGTAGAACCACTCACACATGCACCATCGCCGAACTTTTGGGCATAGGCAATGAATGATTTTTGCCTGCATAATGTCAAGCACATCAATATATAGTTGCAACTATTTTATACACAAAGACGGTTAAATGAACTAACGTCGTTCTTTCAACACAGCTTCATCAAGGGCTGTGTTGATATACACAGATCTGGTCTTTCGAATACCTACCTTAGCACTGGTTAATCCAAGTTCAGGGGTGGAATGTGGGCAGAAATTTTTTTCTCTTCTCTTAGACTCCTGACGTGGGGAATTCACCCCATTAACCGACTTCGAGGGAGTACCGATACGTTCTGGAAGCAGTTTCTCTGATACCCCATTCTTCTTACTCCCAAGTTTTGGAGAGAGAGAACTTTCGTCGATGTCCATAGAATGATCTTCTGCATTCTTAGGGGTCTGCTTACCAAGGCTAGAAGCACCTGCACCATCTACTGCATCAATTTCTGATTGCTGCTTCAGAAGCTTATGCCACGATTTAGAAGATAGTAACTTGGTTCCAGTTGGCCTTTTAGTTTTGGTTCGTGGCTTCAGCGATACAAAAGCCTCTCCATCAGGAACTGGAGCCACAACCTGCAACTCAAAGATAAACAACTTTTATCATCTTGAACCTCACAGTCCCACGTTAAACACACGCTGATAACCCAAGTCTCATTCCCAGATCCTTGAAATATGCACCTTGAAGAGAAAACTATGCAAATTAGATTCACCAAGATATTCACCATAACGTTTGACATTATATGATGGTCTATGTTACAAAATTACCTTGAGAACCTTATCACCGGAAAACTTCCTTTTCCGCTTTTTAGAATCTGCTGGAGAAGTACATGGGCGTCTATCTTCAGACGCTGCTTCCTCTTCCTCTGTCTTAAGATCTCCTTCCCCTTCAAAATTATCATTGCCTAAACTTCGCATTTCTTCGGCTCGTAGAGATTTCGAAACATGTTTTGGTTCTGTACCATCCAGGCTAGATTGCTTCCTGGCCTTGGGTTTCAGATATTCAGTATAAGCTTCAAAAGTAGCTGCAAACCTCAAGTGTACGTTATATCAGATTAGAAAGTCCAAAACGAAAGACGGTGGAGCAGACTCTAATGGATTGTGCAGAACAACAAACCTTTGTATGCCATACTTTCAGGCGGAAACTACCGACCAATTCGCATAGTAGGCAGAAGAACCGAACAGTGACGGTAAGTCTTGATAGTACATATACACGTCACAGCACCCTTTCGACATAAATATTTCCCTATACACGACCACATTATTACTCGAACAACTTACAGGAGAAAGAAAGTCACTTACTGGGAACAAAGTTCAAATTCTCACCAAATTCCAGACCTTCTAGCTCCAATGACGAGGCCGCTAGAGTCGCTAAAGCATCCAGTCCGCTGTTGCTAACTACTGCACATAGGTATGTTCTATATTTTCAATGTTTCGGCAACGAATATCGGAAAAGCACTGTAATTAAGCAATACAATAGGACAAAAGATACTGAAAAGCTGATGAAGAGCTATTTTTAATTCTGTATGACATGCTGCTCAGAATAAAGATAGCAAACGATGACAATGGACTACTCACCAGCTGGACTTGTATATGTACCGCCAGAGAAGAGTTGTCTACTTCTCTTCTTTTGCTTGGGAGGAGGTGAACCAGGACGCCGCCTCCTCTGAACAAAAGGTGGTGGACTAGACCCCTCTCCTGGTTCATCCGCACCGATGCGTTGTCTTTCTGCTGCTTCCAGCAACTCCTTGACATTTTCTTTTCTCTTCTCTCGAATCTGAGCAGCTTCATGTTTATCATCCAAATTCTGTAACTGTATCTTCTTGAAGAACGGTTTTTTCAGCTTACTCTTAATGTCACCAACTTTCGGAGTTTTTCTATCTGCGTCTGACGTATGCGTGCTGCTGCTTGCTTTGGTAGCACCCTCGTTCTGCAGAACTTTGCTTTCAGGACTTCCGTCCAGCTGATTATCCGCTTGGCTTGTCGAAGCAGTAGGCTTCACAGAGCCATCAGGTTCTCTCCTCCACAGTGACTCCTGAAGAAAAGAGTTATATGTGCAATCCATGTGTAAATCATATCCAGCTTAAGTATCACCAATGCTGTCGATTAGAACATGACAGTAGAGACAAACGCAAAAGAGTTTCTGACAAAACATCGAGCAATTTCGTGCTGCCACTTAGCACTAGATAGCACTTAAGACTGCCCTCAAGTCACTGATCAACTTATAAACCAGTCTAACTTCTGCTTTTGAGCCAAGGTTAGCAGACCAAGAGTACCTTGTCACCATTCTGGTGAACAGAGGATTGTCTAAAGCTCCTCCTTGAGAGATTATTTGATGCCGATGGTGACGTTGTCGGCTTTGACACTAAGGTGCGGGCAGCTGCTACATCAGAGTCTGAATCCTCTTCCACCACATTCTGAGGCTTGGAATCAGGGACTTTGATGATCTTTATTCTTTTCTCCGATGCTTTGCCCGTCTGAAATCGAGGAGTGCGTTTGCCTACTGGACCAATACTGCTTGCTGTATGAACAATGTTATACATCAATTGACCAAATCACTTAGGTTGCTTCTAAGAAGTCACTCAATGCAAAGAGTAGTACGATAATAATCCCCAATAGGAGTGAAGAAGTTAAACCATTTCTCCTAGATTGGAGCCCAATATGAAATTTCATACTCGACTGAACTACATGACGAGGGATTCCCTCATCAATTTAATTGTAAATTTCGTAGTCCAACATTGGGCAGACTAGTCCTAAATTTTTTTCAATACGAAAATTACACAGATAGCGAAAGATGTAGCTTACTTCTTGGTCTTTTGACAGGTGAAGGACCTCCAAAACCACTAGCTCCTAAAAGGCCATCGAAACGGATGCTGCTGCTATCCATCCCTGTGCTGGTAACTGGTTTCTTCGTGAGCGGAATATAGTTTGACCTCTCTTCTGAACCAACACCATCATCACTACTCTCTGCACCTGCACTTTGGCTTACATCCTGTAACAATTGTCAAATCAGGAATGCGCAATACAACCGTTTCAAGACAGACACCTCCATTTTGAATGATTTGCATACAGGTAAGTTTTCATAAACAATGAAAGCACTTGGGTGCTTCAGAACTTGGATAAGTCTATCAGGAAGGTGCCACCTATTGACTTGCTGAGAAAAGACTACAAAAAAAAAAATAGACGAGGGGTACACCTAAGTTTAATTTTTTGAAAGATGAATCAAATATGAGATTTATTCTTTTAATCATTCAGCAAAAGACGAAAATCACGCACCAACAAGTTATAATGGTCTGTCATCATGGCTTTAAGTCCAGCAGCAGATACATCTCCTTCAGGAAGAGACAAATATGCCTGCAATGTGCAAACATCTAAGTCACAGCCACTCCATTTTCAGGGATAAAAACAAAATTACTCGAGCTCCATGACGAAAGATCGAAATCTTCCAGGCTCTTAGACGTGTACCTTGTTTGTGGTATATAATGCCTCAACCATCTCTGCCGTTCTCTTGTGTAAGCTCGCAGAAACCTGAAATCATCAAATTCTGTGACTCATAGTTTGCACCACGAAAAAATAAATGCAGTGGACCATAGTAAAAGCATAAACCAATTCTTTATCCGCATTATTCGGTGGTTAGAGTGAACTGAAGAACACCCCAGGTAACATAATTACTACCGAAAAGAAGTACAAATTCTGCATAGTATCGTATTAGCTGCTGTACACAATATCTACCCACGGTTGGTTGGCAGATGAAAAGGAAGTAGAAATCGCAAGCAAGCAGCTAAAAAGGACCTGAGAATGCATTCGACTTGTAAAACCCAGTTAAGAACCAGTTAATCAACCAATCTTTGAATAACACCAGGTTCCATTAAAATGCACAAAAATGCATGACAAACAATGGAACTTCAATCTAATCTGTCCAGGCTCTGTCGTGCCCCGTTGTGTAGGCATTAAGCAACATGCAGAACAGATCAGTACCTTCTTCCAGTCCTTGCCATATTTGCGAAAGGCTTGGTAAAACATCTCAAGATCTTCTTTACTCCAAGGAGATCCAAGCATATCTGTCAGCTTTCGCTTCTGCACCCCTAGCCACAACACACGTTACTTCTTTGACCTATGGTTCTCGGGGCTCACAAAATCAAGACTTGCTAAACAAAGATCTGAAGGAATAGAACAACATACAACACTCAGCAGGGTCAAATTTTTTTAACAACCAGAAACCCGCCGCGAAGGTGATCCCACACAAGCATTATAACGCTATGGCAAACATTCAAATGACGTTAACCGTAATTGACGAAAAGCATCCTTCACATCTTCCATATCTGCAGCTGAATGTGGAAGCTCGGTTTCCTTACCCTGGATTTACTCTTTTCCGTTCCATCTTCGTTCCTATCTACACCACCTGCAATCTTTGCCACAGGTTTTGAGGACGTTCTTGGCCGTCTAGCCGATGCCATGTTGGTGGCTCCTAATCTCCTCGAACTCCCAGTTTACAAACAGTAAACGCACATGACCCCCACAATAATTAAAGATGGCGGCGTAGAGGTCTTCGATGGAGTCTCTGAAAAATCAAGTTGCCCCCAATTGCACCCACAAAGATCATCTCGCAACTAGGAAAACCACTTCTTTAGGTGCAATTAATTGAGGAGTACTCAGCGTGAACTCAATATTGGGGATGCTCATCATTAATCTACAGCACTCGATGATTCGTCAAAAAATATGTTTCTCCGCGTATTAAGCTGGCTAATCTCAGCGAAGTAATCCCAGTCATGCTACCTTTCAATACTGTAGCGTACAAAATGTGATAAACACCCATAAAACTGCAAATAATCCAGTACACTCACCCTAAAATTCGCACATTTGCTAGATACAAAAACGATAGGCGTTGGCAAAATCACATTGTCTCACGCGAACAAGCAAATAGTATAACGAACACCCTCTGACGGTAGTTAAGCTGGCCAGAGAGAATGCCATTCACAAATTAGACTAATCACAAGTTAATCGGTAAAGAACTTCACAATCACCTCATAGTGTCCCTAAACAATATCTCTAGAAGTCCATCAGATAATGCGAAGCGATAGTCTAGTGGTCACGTACTTAGACTCGAACTGCCCTCGGAAAACGTGTTTGCCAGGGAGTGCCATCATTCTTCCTCTCAGCAAACAAAACAACCTACAGTCTACCAGAGAAAAGGATGTACAATCAAAAGATAGTAAATCACAACCTCATAATGAGAAGGGGAGGAAGATTAAAGGAAAAGACGGAACAAATGCATAGTCCACAACTGAAAAGTAAGGTGGTGCGGAAAATTCTTAAAGAAGATAAGCTGCTCCAAAAAAGAGCAACATGAGCTTCAGCAGATACAAAAAGGAAAAGAATCCCGAGTGTGGAAGCAGTCGACAAAACCAGTAGGCTTCGATGCATCCATAAAGACCAGCCAAGACATGAAATTAATGATTTCATTGCTTCCTAACAATTTGGCAGAGAGAACCGCTACGGATAATTTACATCACAGCATCAAGTACCATTCGAAAGTGAGCTTAAAGTTTTCACAATGGTTAATACTGCATTCGTTGTCTTGGCACGTGAAGCGACAAGTCAACACAGATTACAGAATAATCAAGGGAGACACTTACAATCTACAATCCCTTACAATCTACCCTTCGTCCTGGAAGACGAGAAGCCTGGAGGGAGATCATTGAAAATTTCGTGAAAAAGTCACGTTCCAAACTGTTACGTAGCCCAAACTACATCGAAGGCAACCCGAGATTAACAAGGCCAGCCTCAGTGTACCAAGAGAAAGCAGGAAGCCAACAGGAACAGAAACACATCCGTGTCCTCGTAAGTTCCCTTTCTCTCCAAATTCCTCCACCGAAGCCACTAAAACCTCAAATTAAAGCCACCAAGCTCGCCAAATGTCGCCCCGCGCAATAGTTCCACGTCCAAAACGTCGAGCACCTGCCAGGAAAAGCCAGTAAACTCCATCCCATGGAAAGCCACTACCAAGTTGCGGGTTCTTTCTTTCAGCAGAAAATCACGTGTGAACCAGGATACAATCGCGCGCCACCTAAACTACAAACAGCAAACGATCACTCATCACTCTAAACCACCATACCCGAAATCTCTGTGTGTCAATCTCTCTCCCTCTCAAAAAGAAATACAAACACTCGATCAACCACCAACTCGCTTGATCCGACTATGAAAAACTCGAAACAAATGTCCTCCTGCAGCTGTCATGCGCATACAGCTAACGCCACCAATCCGCGCAAAACTCACACGACAATTCCTGGCCAAATTACCCCTCCTACACCAAATGCGGGGTCAAAAAGACAAAGAGCAAGCTCAAATGATACCGCGAGGGAGCTCCAGTGCAGCGACTAGCAATCCAGGGCCCTGCATCGCAGGCAACTCAGCGAAATCTAGCGCCCCGCAATGTTTTCTCCGAGCTCCGCCACAGCTTCATGCTCGCGACCTGCTCCAAAATTTCAAAAGACCTAGCCACTGGCAACCCCAGTAGGCGGGCGACCGGGGGACGAGGGGTGGAGAATTGGGGGAGGAGACCAGACGGTAGTGCAGACGCGGAGTTCAGCAGGGTTTATTGAGCGACCGATGGTCGGGGTGGTTTTCATCCACGTGCAATGAATTTTTGAAAATTGGGCGGAGTTAGCATTTGGGGCTTGGCCTAGACATAAAATCATATATATATATATATATATATATGTATTTTTATTTATTTATTTATATTTAAATTCGGCCCTAAGACCTTCTTTTTGAGCCCTCCATTGAGACATTTTGTTTTGTAAAAGCTTGGGAGCCATATGATGTTTCTTCTATTTTTTCTAAGAAATCATTGTAGAGTGATTACTTGACAGAAATATATATATATATATATATATATATTCTTATGCAATATTACCTTTGCTAAATTTTCTCATACTAAGTTTTAATTCCAATAAAATATATAAAAAAAAAATGGAGGAATTGACATGGTTCTATAGTATTTATGTTATATCTCTCCTAAGTTCTTAGTTATGGCCTTGATAGAAAAATATAACTTTGTAGAAAGAAACAAAAGTAGAGATGGAAAAAGCGGAAGGGAGTGCAAATAGGCAAATAGGCCACCATCTTAGCCAAGAATCGAGCATGCTTTGGTAGAGACCTTCTATATGCAACTTCCACTAAATGTTGCAAAGAAACTTATAGATAGCATATTCACTTAGATTTCAACGTTAAGCATGGAGATAATAATAAAAAGGCTCTGTAGCTTTTTTATGAATGTGAATGACAAGGGTATTATTAACATCTTTGTCTTTCCTTTGCTTGTTGATGATAAATAAGCTCAACAATTTCTTGATTATTTAGCTCAATATGCACACCATTCTCTTTGACTAGTTTGAGTAGGTTCTTGATTGACATTAGATTTTGTAATAGAAGATCCCAAATTATGCCCATTAGCTCTTCTTTGACTATTTCTTTACCATTATCAATATTTGCAACTTCAAGTGTTTGCTCAAATAGTCTAGTATGTTTGAAGTAGTTCTTTATTATGCTTGGAAGTAATTCTACTTAAGTTGTAAGTGACCAATGCATTGCCATCAATTGGTCGACCCTATACATGTTAAGCTTATATTGCTTGTCTCGATCAAGTATATTTTATAAATAGAAACATCAATACTATCACTTAAGTATTGCCATAATTCCAACATCTATTAGCTAAATCTTTGATGTAGAATTTAGGAGAAGCATACAAATATCAATGTTTGGAGTCACATAGTCATTTGTAATGTGCAACAATATGTTGTCTATTAGAAGAAGGATCTGCCAATATGCCTTCTCTATTTTTTTATTGAATTTTTTTAGCCATTCTTGAAAAAAAATCTTGATCATCCATATTTTCTTATTGAAATAATAATAAAAGCCCAACTATTTGCATGTGTAGTGGTTGAAGCAATGAAGCTAGTAGGCATGACCAATGAAAAAAAGCAACAACTTAAAGATTCTATTGGCATTTGCTATGAATGCAATGGTATTCTTTATATATATATATATATATATATATATATATTGTAATTGACAATTTGTTGTTGAGTGATGGTTCACTCTGGCACCATATTATAAAAGAATCATATTTCATCCATATTATAAATGATGCACAAATTATAGCTTACAATGTGGGTGTGTAGAATAAGCATTGCTGCATTGATACTAGCTTGATCACTTGGCCTTACCTCTCTATGTATTTTGATAACCTTTAGCTTGTAGCAAGCAAGGAACTTCTCAAACCAACCATTCAAAAACTTGATTATACCTTTAAGGATTGCAAACATCTTTATAAAGTATCAAAAGTGCTTTTTAATGAGCTTCAATGACAATAATATATTTTGAGCTTGCTGTTGGAGAAGCTATAGAACAAGTGCTTTTTCAAGTTCAGAAAAGTGAATTATCCTTGGACGCTTTGCTTGAAGTTGGTCATTGTCCATTGCTTCATACTTGTCACGTTTTCTTCAAGACCTTGCTAATATTGACTTTTGAGGGTGCTTTTGCAAGGTTAAACTTAGTGTTGGCCTACTCAACAAGGGATTTTTGTGAGATCAAAGGCTACACATCTTTTTGTTTGCAGATTTGTAGTTGATGAGCATTGGTGAAGCATAATATTATTATGGTACTCCAATCAAATGTTTTGGTTTAAGGAGATGAATTAGAATGCTTTCTTTATGAGTTTTTTAAGACATGAAAGGTACATGTTGATGCACTTTTTGTGAATAATAAGGTATTGGATGTGCAAGAAAGAATGCACTAGACAAGCAACAAGTTTATGTACAAAATGTGTTTCAAGCAAATTGATGATGTCATGGCCTTTGTAAATTTTAACCTCCTATAAGTTATACTAAGGAAGACAAACTAATCCTATAACTTGACAAAGATAATATTGTGTGTGTATGTATATGTATGTACGTGTATATACATATATATATATATATATAAGGAAATTTGAATGCTTTACATTTATTTTTTTAACTAACTATCACCATTCTCTATAAGTTTTTTTGATTTGTGCATGTCAAAACCTGGATGTATTGAAATAGTTAGATGTGTTCCAAAATAACATCTTTCATATCTATATATATATATATATATATATATATATAAATTTATTGATTGAGATTAATATACAATGGTTTCACTCAATAATTTCAAATAATTTGCTAATTTCTATATTTTCTACAAATATTTTATTTGATAAACGAATTATAGAGGCTCTATTAATTCAATAAATTATCAATTATTTTAAAAGATTTGTATTTTTTATTTTAAAGGAACATTGTATTAAATCACAACATTTTATATGCTTTTGTCATAGAAATATTAAAAAATAAAGTAAGAACTGATAAGAACTAAGAATGAACTTAATCTTGCCTTAAAATAACCTTTTAATGATTTTTTTTACAATAACTCGAACATATTTTGTACTAAATATAATAAACCTTACAAAAAGATTTATTATAAAAGATTTATAGGATTTTTAAAATGAATAATTTTTTTGGGAAATGACTTCTCTAACTTTTGGGAAATGTCTTTTAATAAATTTCCAATGATTCCAAATCTCATTTAACTATGAAGTTATAGACGGGAATGGAGTTAATCGAAAAGCTCACGTGCTTTACAGTGTTCGTTGTTATAAAACCTTCGGTGAACCAGTTTAAGTTCACAAACGATACCCGCCCATGATGGACTACGTACCCGCCGAAAATACCCGGTAGACAACCTGTCGGGGCAGGCGGCATGTGTTAGAGAGAAACTGGACGCAGCTTGACCATGCGAGCTTCGAAAGTCTCGAAGTGAAACAAGCTGCGGAGCCTGGACACGCCGCGCAATTCTCCCTCATCTTCACTGTTCCTCCACTCGCTCGATCGCTTGGCAGCTATGGCGGTTGGACCTGTGAGTGCTTTGTGTCGATTCGCAAAAAATTGAAACGGTTTTCAGGGAGTAATCTTGGATTTTCCGCTTGTCTTCAGCAAATGAGAGATTACTACAATGAGAATCGATAGCTTGAAATTAGTTTTCGGGAATGGATTAGGATGTTTCTCGTATTGTATCACTTTAGCTCTGTACTTCTGCATTTTCCCCTCGGGTCATCGGGTTGATGGTACTTTCTAGTATTGGCATTATCTTGGATTAGGGTGGTTTGGAAGTGAAGGTGCGTATGTTTCATCTGTATGATCGAGAGTTGGGGTTTTCTCCAGGATTTATCAGAGGAGTTGTAGTATTCAATAAAATTTCTGGAATGTTTTCAGACGGTAGCTCTACATTACCCCCCTATGAGTAGTTATCATATTGTAAAGTAGTGGCAATGCTTCATCGCAATGCCGGGTACAAGAGATCAGACATTTTTGTTTCAGGGGTTTACCAGGGCCTATCGTTATTTTTTTGTACTGCAGTAGTTGACTTAAATGGTTTTCTAAACCTTTGGCCTTGACATACAGGGAGAGTTTGGGGTTCCCTTATTTAGCCCAGTCTCGGAGCCTTTACACCCACTTTTGGCTGTGCTTCTGATAACAATCGGGCTTTTGGTGATGGCGTCTTTTTTCATGTAAGATTTAAAAAAATATTATTATTGTTTTTATTTATTTATCAAAAACTCTTAGTTTTGGCTTTGTTATTTTTTTTTAGTCACACTGATGCTGTGCTAGAGCTACATCTGGATCTTGCATGGTGCAGTGGATTGCTTGCAGACCATGCCTATTTGATATCATCTTTGAGCAGTACGATGACTGCTGCACTTCTCTTCATATTTGTATCTGGCAAGTACCAAGCACATGGCAGAGCTCATACAATTAAGCAACAACGTAAATTGTATACTAAGGTGTGGATTTTCCTGAGCAGTTATGAGGTAACTTCTACTAAGTTCAGTCGAAGCCTGGGTTATGAGTTCGCTACAGGAGGATTAGCATCCGTCTTCTTGGTACTTAAGCTTATGCCGAAATTGTGCTATTTGATTTTGATTTGTATTCCACTGTTTCCAGTTTAATACTCTCATGCATTCTGTTGACATGAGAGCACATCGTACACTACCTCAATAATCCAACATAGTCTCAGAATCATCACATCATCGGTGCACTACCATCGCGTCGAGCAATTCTTAGGCTTGGCTAACAATGCACCTGAATTACAGTCTAATGATGAATTGGGTTGTTCTTTTATTATTCCAGCTCCTGTAAGCCAAGTTCACGTTCGTTGCCAACTTATTCTTCATGTCGATGCTGCTGTAGGGCTTTGGGACGCTCTTCTTGCTGCTATGGACAGGAGTATATGTTTGATTCGTCTGAAAATATGATCTATTGAAATGAAGTTTCCAGGTTCGTAAAAGCAGATTCAGTACAAACAGAAAGAGATATATCCTTTGCCGAATCTCAGATATGGAGCCCGTTTTGCCAGATAGGTTTTACGTAACAAGTTCGGGACATTTTAAAACTATATTGGTTGATTCTATATTCTGCACCATGTGAGTGGATGCCAGACTTTTATCTGAAATGCATTATCGATCACTAGACTACTTGTTTTTGCATTTACATGACAATGCCAATTGGAGGAGTGGAATGTGTGCTATTTTATAAAGTAAATTGATATGTGCTAGGTGTGGACCAGGGAGTGGTTTTTCACTTCACTGAAGCTCTAAGATGCAGTCATATCATGCACAGTAGTTTTCGCTGGATCAAACCATGTGCTATTGATTTCGAAATGGAGAAATTTCGTGCGGTGCTCTGTGTAGTACATGCATGATCTGTTTGCAAAGGGTAACTAGGAAGTGTGGTTGCCAATCTGTTGAAGAGTTATAGGAAGGTGCGGACGTTAGTAAATATTGTCACCTTAAATGAAATGCTGATCAATCATAGCGTAGATCATGATCAGGTTCTTTTACATTTTGTAAGTTCAAGTATTTATAGGCATGCGACTCAATGCTTACGCAGTTGCCGTTTGATGTATACTCTATTCCTACCAACGACCGCGAAGGACCAGATGGACTATTCTTCTGGTTACTCAAAGGTCTATTCCACCAGAACTTGATACTGCTCTAGACTGGAGGTGCAGTATTCCGTCGACGTCTTTTGTGGGTTTTGGAGTTGACAGGTGTTCCTGATTCTAAGCCCAACATGACCATAGGTTGCAAAGCCGTGTCATTTTACATTCAAGATGAAAGCCTCATACCTCTCAGAGGCTTGTTGTGTTTTTTTTACTGTTTTCTTTCTCTTTTGTGTATTTATTTTTTAATTTTTTAATTTTTTTTTGTCTCCCACTTGTCTATTTATTCATGTTTCTCCTAAATTATTCTAGATGATTGTGATACTGGAGTGCGCTTTTTTCATCTGGTATTGAATTTTCAGTTATCCTCTCCATTTCTCCTTTTCCTGATGGTTACTGTGGCTGTCCCACGCAGTAGGCATGCTTCATGCCTCGGTTGTCCAATACAACTGACGTTCCTGCTGCTTGTTGCTTGTCTGTACCTATTGTTGCCCTTTGTAAAGACCCATCGTTCTGTTGCTGTTAGTCGATACCCGATTGCTGTTAATATTTGAGGCTTCGGGATTAGATACCTGTTATTAAACACTTCGTGCTTTACATCCTCTTAGGTCAATCGACGAGCAGCCGGACCTGCTTTTTTGAACTCATTGGCATTCATTGTTCTCAACTGGTGAAGGTTAAATATCAGAGGTTGAATCCTCTGCTAAGGCTCTCAATCCATGATGAAGATTGGAAGATAATGCTATGCATCCGAGCTTCATCTTCCATGAGCCTCCTCCTTTTCATTCGAAGTTCCTCTTTCCTTCTCTGAACTTCACGGCTTACTTCCTGCAAGTTCACCTCAATATACTGTAGAGATTTCTCTTCCTCCTCTAATGTTATCTCAGTGAAGCCACCATTAAATTTTAGATCAATCTCTTTGCTGGTTCCCATTGGGTACCCTTGTAGCATCGCTTCCACTTTTTGCTTAATTCCTGCTGGTGATGCTGACCTCAATTGTTGAAGTCGCTCCAGAAGAGCTGTGTGAGAGGAAGCAGGTCCTTCACTTGTGCTCGCAGCTTGTTGAAGAAGTCTCTTGAATGGCGGAGGACTTTCTGGCATCCCCAGTTGAAAATCCGTCATGGGAAGTTTACATGCTCCAACAGCAGCATACGGACGGAAGGGCCTATTGACTGGTGGCGAAGGAATGTTGTTTATGGGCCTGCTCCCGTCAAGAGAGGAAGTCTGAGTCCTTGAACTAGGGTCCTTGTTCTCTACACAGCTTTCAGATGTTAAAGCTCCAGAGGTTGGGCTTCCAGACTCGGGAGAAAGACGCAATGACAATGTGCTTCTGTCAAAGGGCATCTTGCACATATTTGAGTGTTGTAAAGAACACAGCTGTGTGCAGGAAAGCGATGCCAAGCCATTACCGTCGTGGTGATCATTCTCACCTGCAAATCTATCCAAGGTTGTTATGTGATTTCTTAGGTTGCTGGTAATGCTTTGACCTGGTGAGTTCTCATAAAGAACCAAGGCAGGAGGTCCCTGCCCTTCAGTTCCTTGGTTCCGTCTCTGGCCTTTGGGAGACATGTAGTGCATACTTGTGACAGAACTTGATCGGGACGAGTTCTGGACTTGTTGGATTCTTCCTGGTGTGGTGGCTGCCTCATTGTCACTACTTGATGCTGGGGAGGTTGATTTTGGTGGAGTGTGATCTCGGTTCCCAGTGCCTCGAGGCATGAACGGTGGTGAAACAACAGTAGAAGTTCCTTCACTGTTGCCATGTAGTGAAGGACCCATTGATATTGATGTCACCTGGGTCCGCTTCCGTGAGATGCTTCGAATAGGCTTAGAATAGCAAGGTTGACAGAGTGGGCTGGCATCCGGAGGTAGTTGTGGGGTGAAGCAAATGCAAAACAACCGGTTGTCACATTTTGAGGATAGGAGAGAGATAGCCAGCTTGAAGGAAGCACGTCCTGATGCCATGCGAGTTGGCCTATCCTGAGCCGGAAACTCCACCCCATTGAATGTTGTGAATAATGGTGGCTCAGCTAGAAATGGCTTTTCATCTCGAACCACAGGGCTGTGGTCATGGGCGTAGGCCACCGAAGCCACGATGGCCATGTCGCGAGATACCAAGCTTCCTTGCTCATCCAAAAGGTGAACACTCAGTACGAACTTCCTCCTGCAGGATGCCTTTCCTCCTAGTACGGTCAGAACTTCAGAGCTCTTCCCTATACCCATTGCCTCAGAAGCTATCGATGATACAAGCTTATACATCTCGGTGGGTAGTCTCGCGCCTTTGGTACTGCCGTTGTCTGAACTGCAGACTACAACCATACCCACGTAGTTGTGGAAATCTGTTGTCAACCGTCTCCGAACACGCAATAAGCCATATGACGATTTTCTCCTTCTTTCGACTCCAGAAGTAACTCCTTGATCCTCTGAACTTGTTGAGCTGAAAGCTCATAAATCAGCAGCTCCTCTGGAGTGTTGTTTCATATTACCTGCTGGTCAACAGGCTTCGTTCGAGTGTTCTTTGCCTGGTAAGGTACATCACTTGCTTTATGTAAAGTAGTTTTCTCTACTTTTTCTTCAAAACATGTTCTTTTTGCCGTTTTGCGTTCCAGTATCGTCACTTGGTTTTTAATGTGAGATCGCTGCATGCAAAGAGCCTCATTGCTAGTGAGCAAGGGCTCCGGTTGGCTCCTTGTACCTCACGTTTTTACTTCTGCAGCTTTTTGCAATTTTTACGTTTTGCGACTACGCAGGACTTCTGTGTTGTAAAAATCTGACTGGCGATAAGTGTTGATCCGAGCTGGGCTGTGCATCTGTTAGACAAAAATCATTCGCGTTAGGAAACCGCAATTGTATCAACAATTATGTTTTCATGTCAATTACATTTTTTATTAGTTCGTTCGTTTGTTCGTTTGTTTTGTGTGTGCATGTGTTTGTGTCTATTTAAAAGAAACCTTTTTATCCTATGAAATGTTTAGTTGACTTCGTTTACAACGAACATGAGGAAGTTCCAAACTACGGCAGTGATTCAGACCAAGTGGAATGAGATCTTGTTCATGAAATACTGAGCTTGCCAAGTTTTTCCAGCTGCGGGTTTATCATTTCTACCTACTCCTGAGTTCTATTTGAAACAAGACAGTTCAATCTTACGCACTCATCTGCGATTTACAAGCAGCACCCGTGGAGGAAGGGATAGAAATAACTACACCCATGTTTCATGATGTTTTAGAAAGTAAACAACAATCGACCTTATTTCCAGTCCGTTCTCGATCGAGAATGTAGACAAACCCTTGAATGTGAAACGAAAACGGAGACGACTGAGAAACTGGTGGCATTGCTTCTATAAACTTAGCTGGCAATGTTCGAGGCTGCACTTCCACATACCGTACTTACGGCTATTGAGTTGTGAAGCTCTTTTTAAGGCAATGTGTTCTGAAATTTGAGTTTTTTTGACATTGACTGTCCATTTCTCCACCTGCTGTAGTGCACCAAGAACCTTTTGAGGATTGATGAATGAGATTGCCTGATTAACTCGCAGCCGGTGCTATCGGTGGAAATTGCGATTAAGCGAAACATGATTAGACCTCGCTGATGCACATAGACCACCAAGGGAAATAATCAATAGCTCTCACGCGACTGCTGCAGAGGAGATCAAGGGCAGAGCTGCGGACCTGGATGTGGTCTCGCAGTTGTCGGGGTGCACAGGTGCGGAACTTGTTTCCCTTGCCCTTTTGAGCAGACAAACTCCAAAATTAAAGGAATTGCAAATTTGCAACCGCAAGGATTCCCACATGCAACCCCGAATTCCTCTGGGCTAGATTCATATCCATCAGCTTGTCACTCCACAGCGACGGTTGCCATCGGACTCTGTGATGGTTTATTCGATTGGCCTCTTAGTCGGACTGCCTGCCCCTCCACGCGTGGTGATCCAGCTGAAGTGGAAGTCCTTCATTGGTCGCTGCAATCTTCAGGCTTGTCTGGTGGGACACATTTGCGCTAAACGGGGCCCTAAATGCTGAAACTTTAATGTTCAGTTCTCGTCAAGTCCAACAGTGTGGCTTGAGCGACAGAGTGGACGCCAGGAAAATGTTCTTGACTCGAACCCAAATTGTTGGTCATACTCGGCCTAAATAGTACGCCTTCGTCAATGGGTTTTGTGGCTTCATGAGAAACTCTTCGGAGCATACTAAGTGGGGAGAGATTATTTATTTGTATGGTTTTAAGCTGCTCTTGATGAAGCGTTTTCTCAGGTGTGGATTCTTCATGTCACGGTCTTTTCTGAAGAATGCATGAAGTGCAGCGTTGGAGGGCGTTTTTGAAATGAGAGAAGAACTTTAAAACTCTTGAGAGCAATATGAATTCCCAACTTGGAGCATTCAGATGTAATGCATTGCCCTTCAGCAGTATGGATGGATGGAGTAGCATTTGATCATAATCGATACAGTAAGGTGGTATTACGTCACGTGGCGAAAAGCGTATCAAATTGATACAGCATCGCTTTCTTACTAAGTTGCTAACTTGGCGATCTCGGTGAATCTGCGTGTAGAGTGCAGTGGCCATGACGAAAAAACTCTTTACTAACCGCTAAGCCGTAGTGGTGGTGCGACCAGTTAGGTTGCAAGAAAGTGATTCCGGGACAGTTATAGTGCGGTCTTCACCATTCCTACGGTTGCAACCGTGCTTGCTAACTGTACACCTTTTACCCCTCCTGCTCTCGCAACCGAGGCAGTTTCTTTTAACTGCAAGACTGTCGGCCTCATTCACACTATTGCCATTTAAGGGTTTTGTAAGAACAGAGATTGACAGCTTCCGGAGTGATGTGTAAGATGGTTCGTAGTGGGTGGCAAGATTGGCGATTTGTGCTCGTTCAGTGAGGTGAGTTGAACTGCACAAGTCGCTGCAAATTTCGGTACCCTTTCGTTATCAGTTTTGTTGGGATTTGCTGAGATATTCGTAACTACACCTTGGGTTTGTAGGTTAGGGTTCAGAATCTGTTCAGTTTGTGCACATGCATCTGTAGACCTAATCGACTACACTAGACTCCATTGATAGCAAGGGAGATCACGTACTCAAGCCTTTCTGAATGAGGTAAATTTAAATAGCTTCGACAGTGTGCTTATATGCCGATGGATTTAGAGTAAATTTTCTCGTAATTCGGAATTTCTCACTGGTATGTTGTGTGTGTGAATTGAAAAAATGAGGGTATGACTGATTATTGTATGTTCAAGCAGATTTTTCTCTGTAATGCTTGGGAATCGCTCTGGAGATGCAAGTAGTGGCGCAAATGATTGTATTCTCAACCTATTTGATGAATTCTGTGACGTACAATATCATATATCCTTCGCGTTAAATGTGTAATAATTTTTGATTTCTAAGCTACATTTAGTAAAATGCAGGTGATTTTAGGGTGTAGAACATCGAGCGCGATCAATTTGCAAGGGAAGGCAAGTTAGTGAATGGCAGATGAAAAGGACATTCGTTCTTATCACCATCCATCCACCTGGTGCTCAAACCGCCAGCGCTTGTGAAAACTGACGCACAATAACTACTTTGATATCTGATGCATGTTGTGCTGTGGTAGCTGCCTCAATTGGCAAATAGAAGGGCCTCGCAAATGCTAATTGGGAACTTAAACCTCTCATCCGTAACTTATTACTCATTCACATTTTGCAGACATTCACCATTTAGTTATGAGTTATATCTGCAACTTAATCATCCTTCATTCGTGCAAGCTGAGTATTATTGTAAGCTGTTTCCAATCTTGTAATTTTTTTTTTCGATTTGGCTTTTTGAAGACGACTCTGGGAGGGAATTTATTACAATCGCAACCACTGCAGTCTATCGTTGTACAATTTAACTTTTAAGCAGAAATGTCTCCATATCAAGTCGGTGCTGTATTTCACGTTGTATCTCAATGTAATATATCAACTGGACTGCATGTTTCGTACAAGTAATCACTTCACGTTGTTCATGTAGTCAGATTATTTCTTTAATCGAAGTTTGATAAGTGCCTACGAAGACACAACTCAGTCCACATTTCTAACAAACTAATTGACAGTGGTTCTCGTTCTACTTGGCAGAGTTAGTGCTTTTGTGTAATCTCGTAAGATATTGAAGAGTATTAATTTCGGGAGAGCATAAAAAAATAGGTTTCAATCATTGCTCAATTATTAGCTAACTATATCATCTGTGGCTGCGTACTTGTAAGATTTCTTGCCTGCATCTGGAAAACGCATCACAACTACATTCGCAGTTCACAGTTGAGTTAGGACATTCAAATCAGTCATGCCTAGAAGCAACAAAAACTAGTCCTTTTGCCTGTGAAAATTCCTTCCAGTTGAATACCCTGCTGCCATGCACGAAATATCTGAAACAGTCCAAAGGCGGTTTTTGCGGAAACTTGAACCCTATATTATAAAACTCCTCGTAAAACTCTTACTCAGAACGTCTATGCTACTGGTAAAACTCCATATCCTCCAAGCTCTTCCTATCCATTTCATCAGAACATCTGAAAGTAGAACTTACTGAAAGTGCGCATTGCACACGAATCAGTAAACAATTCAAGGAACTCAGAAGGAGGTCTCTCTCAACGGTTCACATCTCAATATTGTAAGTAGCACAAAAGTTCTATCAGATAACCTACGCCTTAAAGCTCCACAAACAGTGGCGGCGCCACGAATATCAAAAACCGTAAAAGCCCCGAAGTACGATTCAGTCAAACAGTCTCACGCAACGACAGCACGTGAGGCAGGGACCACTTCCACCGTTCTCACCGACCTTTTACCCAGGTCATTAACTTTCTCCATGAATAAAAATGTGGTCTCATAAGTCCCATCACACGTAATAGCCTAGAGAAAAAAATGTTCATTGTAGAATATCTTAATGAGAAACACTAAAATATAAATTAAAACGCCAAATGCGGATTAAACTTCACGAAAAGCAAAAAAACCAGAAAGAAAACCAAGCCCGAAGTGAAAAATGATGTCACATTATATTCTTTAACTAAGTTCCAAAAAACAATACCCATAAGAATACCACCTGCAACAAAATGCTAGATAATCACTTTCTCCAAATATCAAAATCTTGAGAGACCTTTTGTAAGGTTTTCTTCTTTCAATTCTACCAAAATCCCGCTAGCAATCAACATGGAACCCTGCCATTGCGACCGAGTAGGGACCTAAAATCGATTTACACGCTCCACATGCCGCACATCAACCCACGCTCCTAGTTCCCGCGACTTCCACCAGCTTGCGCCATGTCCTCAGTCACGAGGCTCACCAAGTTCTAGACGTTCTATCCATCTATCCGATGCTTCACATATATCTGGAGCTGCAACTCGACTAGTTTGCGGAAATCGCAACCATCGGGCGTCTCCCAACCACTGGCTAACCTTCGCTTGCAGGCCTCCTTTCGTCCCCCTCGTCTCTACAACTTCGACTTGGCGTACACCTCCCCACTGTGGTAGCTGTCGTCCTTGAACTGTGTCTCCGTCACACCTGCATCAACAACATCGTCCCACCCATAATCCGTCAGCGCAGGCTCTCCGTCACCAGCTGAGACTCGGTTCAAACTACGCCACACTAATGACAACGAACCCAACATGCAGCGATTCCACAACAAAACCTCTCCCATCATCCCCCCCCCCCTCCCCAGTCAATCGCCGTGCAGCGCCGCGCCGCCCCGCGCACATCCACCGATCCCATCGCCACGTACCGTGACCCATGGCTGCGGTGGACGACACTCCTCCCGTCACCGTCTTCAGCAGCTGGTCGTAGTAATTGGCCCCGCTCCACGTCTGGTGAGCCAGCGTCTCCACGCCGTGCGTCCTCTCCTGGCGCTGGATGTCCTGCACGTACGCCAGCATCCCTCGCTGCGCGTAGTCCCGCGCGAACGTGTCCACCACCAGCGCGTTCGAGTGGAATCCCGCTAGCGTGATGAACTGCCAAACGAACCCGAGCCGCGCCAAATCCGGAATGTAGCTCTGCATCTGCTCGTCCGTCATGCCGGCCGCGTCCCAGTTGAACGACGGCGACAGGTTGTACGCCAGCATCAGCTCCGGGCACTTGGCTTTCACGCACGTCGCGAACTCCCGCGCCTCGTTCAGGTCCGGCTTCGCCGTCTCCATCCACAGCAGGTCGCAGTACGGCGCGAACGCGATCCCCCTGGCAATGCAGGCCTTGATGCCGCCGTCGAACCTGTAGTACCCCTCCCTCGTCCTGGGCAGGTCCCAGTCGAAGAACACGCCCTCCGCCACGCCCATCTTGGCCGCCAGCCTCCTGGCGTTCACAATCGACAGCCCTCCCACCTGCGACAAAAACTCCCGCACGCGCTTCGACTTCTCCCCCTCCGACAAGTTCAGCGCCCTGATGTGGTCGGCCACCACGTCCTGGAACAGCCGGATGTTGGCCTCCGCCAGCCACTTGTCCTCCACGGCCTGCAGCGCAGCGCCCGACAGTCCCGCCTCCGTGGCGTCGAGCATGGCCTGCACCAGCGGGAAGTCCTTCACGGCCGGGTTGGTGGCGCCCAAAATGAAGCAGTGGTCGCGCGGGTCAATGTTGGACTGGATCAGCGTCGCCGCGCCGGAGTCCGTCCGGGCCACCAGAATCTGCTCCACGCCCATGATGTCGAACTGCAGCCTCGCCGCCACCAGGCGGTTGATGTGCTCGGAGGTGGCCACCAGCACCTTGCCTCCCATGTGGCCGCACTTCTTCGTCACGGACGCCTGGTCCTCCATGTGAATTCCGGCCGCGCCCCTCTCCACGAACATCTTGGCCAGCTTCACGGTGGCCGTGGTGCCACCGAATCCCGTGTCGGCGTCGGCGATGATGGGCGGGAGCATGTCCACGTACGGGGTGCGCAGCCTCTGCTCCTTGGTCATGCCCAGGCGCGCCTCGCGTTGCTTGCGGTCGTGGAACTGCTGCGCCATGAACAGGTGCTCCACCTTGTTGGGCACCGTCTCCATGGGGTAGTCGGCCAGGTCAGGGCCCGGCTCGTTCGAGGTGGCCGCGGTGGAGGCGCACTGCCATCCGGAGACGTAGATGGTGTCCAGGTACTTTGCCATCTGCACGACCTGGACGGGGTCCAAGGCGCCGAAGGTGCGGGAGCAGGTGCCGTTGGCCTGGTGGGTCTTGAGGAGGCGCCACAGCTTCTTGGCCTGCTCGCTGGAGGCGTATTGCTGTGGGAGGGTGCCCCTCAGCTTGCACACCTCACGGGCGGAGTAAGGGCGCTTGGTGAGGCGCCATCTCTCGGACTGCCACCATCTCTCCACCTCGCCCACCTGAGCCTCGAACAGAGCCTCCTCGTGGTTCACGAACTGTGCGGTGTCACACGGATGTTAGTTGGAGATGGAGTTTGAATTACTATATGTGATTTTGAAAGGAAGTGTGGAAATATAATCGTGTCAATTGCAGGAATTGAGGGTAATGCTATGTAACCGGTTATTTAATGCTTCGAATTCTGTTGCTAATGTTGGTCTAGTTATGCAGAATGTCATGAAGTAGTTACCTCGACAGCGGCATTTTGGTTGTATAGAGCCATCAGGACTTCTTGCTGTACGAATCACCCACACAGATGTCCCTGTTATTGCTGTGTAGAATATCTCAATAGCTCGAGTTCTCTAAGAAACAAAACTGCAGTGTGAAAGAGCATTCATATATGAAGTCATGAAAATGTAGTTGAGAAAGGTTAGTGAATTCACTACCTTGGATCGGAGTAGTACGCTAAAATTGGAGCACTTTGTACAGGCAACTAAAGACTATGACTTTCGATCTTACTACTCCGTGAGCAAGGGTACGCAAAGTGCAGTGAGACCTTGTGACCTAGATCTGGTGTCAATCACAATCTGAGAGCATTTGGGAGGACGAGCTCCTTTTATATGGGAAGTAACATGCTATTTTTGATTATCCACGTATGAATTTCTTCATTTATTTTTAGCTGATAATTGATTTGTCATCGCTACTGTGTTTCGCTCATCCGTCAACAACTTAACAGGTGGATCAAGGACTGCGGCTGATCTGACTGGGTTTGAGAAATTTCCGAAGCAATTCGGTGGCTGAGAAATCATGAGTTTATTACCTCACGAGGTAATGTTAGCCACCGGTGAAGGTGAATAGTTTTTTTCTCTTTCGTTTGAAAAGAATAAATTTGGCTAGAATAATGTGTGAGATTCGGTGAATAGTACTTCTGGTTGAGTGTGAGATTGGGAAGTAACAGGAAGTAGACTCCTTCAAAACTAAAATAGGCTATTTTGACACAAGCAATACTTCATCTCAAATTAGGAATGACAAGTGTCTATGAACCCATACAATCTGTACAAGGTAGCTAGAGCAAAGTTATGTACACACAAGAACTTGGTGTGCATGGGTAGAATGGGAACAAGGATGAACATACTGCACGCTTCATCATGCACCCACCGTGTGCGGTCGAATAAGAATTTCCACTCCTCTTAGTACTAATTTTCAAAAAATATAAATAAGAATAGCACTTCATATTTAGTACTTCAATAATAAATAAGTCCTGCGTTTATTTTGTGTGTTAAAGTGGTAATGTTGTTTCATCATATGTGAATTCTCAAAGATAGTATCAATAACAGCATACACAGGTAGAGTGTATACAAATATATGTAAAACGTACGTATATATAGGGATGAGACGTATATAAACAAACAAGCAAGCAAGCTGAGTGAACCCCAGTAGTTTTGACAGAGACCAGTGGATGCTTTGGTTGAAAGATAGTGCTTGCAAAAATTCCTAATCTGTGTATGCTAACTTTCAGAGCTGACCACAAAAATTCATGGAAGAATTTCATTTTTCAAAAAAAGTCGAACATAAAATATGTGCTCAGAATTTACCACATACTTACCACACTTTTTGGCTTCACTGCACCACCCCTATAGCAAAGTATTTTACCACATAGAAGAGAGAAATTTCACAACAGACAGCTTGTTGACCTGGATCTAGTAACCCATGACAAATTATCATGGGAAAACCCTTGTAAGATGGAAATTGGTGAAGTGAATTCATGAGATTATTTTTTCACTTTTATTTAGTTCCATTCCTGACCAATCATATCGTTTAAGATGATTGGTTGGTTAACATTTATGGGCAATGAAATTATGAAGTGTGGGTGGCAGGTTGAGTGCACCAGTACATTAGTTGCCTTTGCCACATTGGCGCCATGTAGGAATCCTCATCCCTGAGGCAAAATTCATTGGTACATTGTGGCTTCCAACTCAGGTTGTGTGTGTAAGGAAAAAATGATGAGAAATTTGGCCCACCATGACTCACAACATCAGCAATCCATGCTGTGCACTCAACCAGCAAAGAGTTGTCTGAGCCCTACTTTGCCTAGGGGATTAGATTTGCATTGAACCAGATTAGCTTGATGCTTCACTGTGTTGGTACTGGGCTTCGTGATATAAAGACTACAAACTATATACTATGATAATAATAAAAATATTAATATTAATATGTAAATCTGCTTTAAGATTGTTGCTGATATTTCTGAAGTTAAAATTAACTTATGAAGAGAGTCTGAAGTTAAAAGATGTAATAGGAGGTAAATGTTGACAAAGTTAAGCAAATTAGTTTTGAAATATAATACTTAGCACTTATAGTTTAACTTCAGACAACATAAACAAGACTCTAAGCTTGTGAAATTTTGAAGGAAAACTTTGGCCCAAATGCACTTCAGTGTTTGCACCTCTATCAAAACCTTAAAAAACTTAATCTACAAGTCCTAATCAAAATCTTATACCTGGCATGAAACTTTAGGATTTTATGTGAATTGGGTTTCTTTTATTAGCACACAAGCAAACAAAATTTACCATCCAAAAAACTTTTGTTTGTTGCTTTAAGACTTTTTCAGTTTGTTAACACGAATGTGTATTATGCATTTTCAGGTCTTTGGGGATGGAATAGATAGTCAAGATCCATACTGCAAAGGATTCTTACCTCTGGTAAGTTGGCTCCAATTCCGGGTTAATCATACTTTCAATTCATATTTTTATTAAAAATTGTACACCTCTTGTAGTATATGTTCACACACTCTTCTGAAGATGGTATGCCTTCCATTTTCCATTCCCGATGTTGTCTGGTTCACAATTCAACAGAAGTATTTTATAACCATGTTGAAGAAAGTAAAGAAAACATATCCATTTGCGATGTACATGATTGAAACACATCGAAGTAGGTCACATTTTATCACAACAAATTGATTATTTTTACAAACGGGTGTGGTCCCGAAAAAACTCAAGATTCCCAGATAAATAATGCACGGCATAGGAAATTAAATAATAACAATAATAATTAAATAATAAAAACCACTATTGACAACAAATACATACCGTAAAATTGAATAAAAGAGGACAAAGTAATTTACCCTGTAGATAAGAACAATACATCTGAAGTCCGGCCTATCAACAAGTTTCACGATCTTCTGTACCAACCAATGAAGGGGCGCCGCATGCATCCACCGTTTTAGCTACCCGCGGAGGCGTAAATTGTGGCAACACGGCAAACTTTGAACAAGTTCAGAGCATGCACCGAATTTCGAAATTCGAAATTTATTTTGTGCCGGACACGGACGTGCGACACCGGCACTCAAACTGAAGCTCATGTAAGTCAGGCCCACACTAGAAGCTCGAGTATTAATTAAACTGAATCAGACAATCAAAGTGCACGTCATGAACAATCGACACTCGTTGCTCGGAGCTGGAAATTTGGGTCCATATGAAATTATTGCGCAAACTTTGTGAAAGGGCAAAATTGAAAGGCATGTACCAAGGGTGTTTTCCTTAAGGGCGGAAATAGTGCCAGCAGTTTCCGTAGAAGCATGACCCCAACTGGTGGTGCAGCCGACGGATTCGGCGGCAAATGACTTCACAGGTTGGCCTTGTAGGGACAATTTGTGAGTATTCACTCTCACGACTGGAATAGCCTGAACCGTCCGGGGATTGTCACCGTGGGAATCGACTTGGGTGACGAGGTTACAATCAACTTTGACACTTGGATAAGGCCAAGCGGCGGCGGTGTCCTCTTGGGAGAGATTATTAAACCCGACCTCTGCCAAGCTTGAATCATCATTTTTTCATAATCGAGTTCGTGACTTGGTTTACGAAGCCGAGTGTGGTTTCTGCTTTCGGGGTTTTGAGGTTGTGAGTTTCACAGGCGTGTCTAAGGTATTTTTTCTTGTTCTGTCGTTTGTTCAAAGGCAGTGATAATGAGCTAGACATAGATCTTTTCGTGTCGATGGCGTTGAAGATGTCTTGTGTGGGAAATTTTTCCAAACCTTCAATTGCAGACTACTTGTTAGACTGAGGAATGATATCACAGCGGTCACGCTTCCACATGTTGGGACCTTGACAACACTTTTGATACCAAAGTACAACTGCGATGACAGTAGACTTTAGTCGTTAAACTCGCTACAATTTGACGTCGCAGCACCTAAAAATCTGAGAACTTTTTTGTGGTCCTTAAGGTGGTACATGATTTGTGTGCAGGAGGAACCATGGCTCTTTACGATCAGAATGCAGCAGCTCAGGTAACTTTTGTATTTCTTGAAATTTTTGAGGGAACTGACTGTATTAGAAATAGTGATCTAGGTGTTCGAGAATGTTGTGATAGACTTGTAACTCACAAAAATCAAAACGCACGCTATCTTTAGATATGCGCGGCTTATTTATAACACTATCTAATAACTTTATGCTTGAGTGTCGTCGATCATACAGTTTGTGAACCACGAGGAGGCTCTGTTCGAGGCTCAGGTGGGCGAGGTGGAGAGATGGTGGCAGTCCGAGAGATGGCGCCTCACCAAGCGCCCTTACTCCGCCCGTGAGGTGTGCAAGCTGAGGGGCACCCTCCCACAGCAATACGCCTCCAGCGAGCAGGCCAAGAAGCTGTGGCGCCTCCTCAAGACCCACCAGGCCAACGGCACCTGCTCCCGCACCTTCGGCGCCTTGGACCCCGTCCAGGTCGTGCAGATGGCAAAGTACCTGGACACCATCTACGTCTCCGGATGGCAGTGCGCCTCCACCGCGGCCACCTCGAACGAGCCGGGCCCTGACCTGGCCGACTACCCCATGGAGACGGTGCCCAACAAGGTGGAGCACCTGTTCATGGCGCAGCAGTTCCACGACCGCAAGCAACGCGAGGCGCGCCTGGGCATGACCAAGGAGCAGAGGCTGCGCACCCCGTACGTGGACATGCTCCCGCCCATCATCGCCGACGCCGACACGGGATTCGGTGGCACCACGGCCACCGTGAAGCTGGCCAAGATGTTCGTGGAGAGGGGCGCGGCCGGAATTCACATGGAGGACCAGGCGTCCGTGACGAAGAAGTGCGGCCACATGGGAGGCAAGGTGCTGGTGGCCACCTCCGAGCACATCAACCGCCTGGTGGCGGCGAGGCTGCAGTTCGACATCATGGGCGTGGAGCAGATTCTGGTGGCCCGGACGGACTCCGGCGCGGCGACGCTGATCCAGTCCAACATTGACCCGCGCGACCACTGCTTCATTTTGGGCGCCACCAACCCGGCCGTGAAGGACTTCCCGCTGGTGCAGGCCATGCTCGACGCCACGGAGGCGGGACTGTCGGGCGCTGCGCTGCAGGCCGTGGAGGACAAGTGGCTGGCGGAGGCCAACATCCGGCTGTTCCAGGACGTGGTGGCCGACCACATCAGGGCGCTGAACTTGTCGGAGGGGGAGAAGTCGAAGCGCGTGCGGGAGTTTTTGTCGCAGGTGGGAGGGCTGTCGATTGTGAACGCCAGGAGGCTGGCGGCCAAGATGGGCGTGGCGGAGGGCGTGTTCTTCGACTGGGACCTGCCCAGGACGAGGGAGGGGTACTACAGGTTCGACGGCGGCATCAAGGCCTGCATTGCCAGGGGGATCGCGTTCGCGCCGTACTGCGACCTGCTGTGGATGGAGACGGCGAAGCCGGACCTGAACGAGGCGCGGGAGTTCGCGACGTGCGTGAAAGCCAAGTGCCCGGAGCTGATGCTGGCGTACAACCTGTCGCCGTCGTTCAACTGGGACGCGGCCGGCATGACGGACGAGCAGATGCAGAGCTACATTCCGGATTTGGCGCGGCTCGGGTTCGTTTGGCAGTTCATCACGCTAGCGGGATTCCACTCGAACGCGCTGGTGGTGGACACGTTCGCGCGGGACTACGCGCAGCGAGGGATGCTGGCGTACGTGCAGGACATCCAGCGCCAGGAGAGGACGCACGGCGTGGAGACGCTGGCTCACCAGACGTGGAGCGGGGCCAATTACTACGACCAGCTGCTGAAGACGGTGACGGGAGGAGTGTCGTCCACCGCAGCCATGGGTCACGGTACGTGGCGATGGGATCGGTGGATGTGCGCGGGGCGGCGCGGCGCTGCACGGCGATTGACTGGGGAGGGGGGGGGGATGATGGGAGAGGTTTTGTTGTGGAATCGCTGCATGTTGGGTTCGTTGTCATTAGTGTGGCGTAGTTTGAACCGAGTCTCAGCTGGTGACGGAGAGCCTGCGCTGACGGATTATGGGTGGGACGATGTTGTTGATGCAGGTGTGACGGAGACACAGTTCAAGGACGACAGCTACCACAGTGGGGAGGTGTACGCCAAGTCGAAGTTGTAGAGACGAGGGGGACGAAAGGAGGCCTGCAAGCGAAGGTTAGCCAGTGGTTGGGAGACGCCCGATGGTTGCGATTTCCGCAAACTAGTCGAGTTGCAGCTCCAGATATATGTGAAGCATCGGATAGATGGATAGAACGTCTAGAACTTGGTGAGCCTCGTGACTGAGGACATGGCGCAAGCTGGTGGAAGTCGCGGGAACTAGGAGCGTGGGTTGATGTGCGGCATGTGGAGCGTGTAAATCGATTTTAGGTCCCTACTCGGTCGCAATGGCAGGGTTCCATGTTGATTGCTAGCGGGATTTCGGTATAGTCATTGTTATACCGTATAAATTGTTTTGTTGGTACTGAGTATTTTATAATTAGTTGATTAATTAATAATTGATGTTTGTATTTCTAAACATTGTTTGAGTGCGAATTTGCATGCTTACGTTAATCTACGTTATTCGGTTGTTCATGGTTATGTTTTTTGGGTGAGTGATGTTTTACCGTATTGGATATGTTGAGGGGCAGTTGTTGAATGGTGTATATTTTTTATGCTGTTTAACATTGAAGAATTTAGGTATGGTAGATTATGCTTCATTTCATTTTTAATTAATAGATTTTAATTTGGGCATGTAATAGCAATCATTTTAAGGTTGGACGTTGGAATGTAACTAACGTAGGAGTCGGTACAGGTGGTCCTTCCGCCTGATTCTCATGCTGACGGTGTTTGAATTTTGCTGCCGTGAGGGGATTTATTATAGTATCTTTTAGTATCACCGCCACTTTTTACGGTAAAATCTGACTATTTTGTGAAGATAACGTAGAATAGGGGAAGCAGTAGATGTTTGGAGATGTATGCAATCGTAAGCTTTTGCGTAAGTCGTCTTACTGCCGAGTTAGTGTGTCGCCTCGTGATGTGGCATTGAATGGTCTTGTGTGGATGCTTAGTTTTCTGAGTTGGAAAGAATATTCAATATTTGGTAGTTGTCAGGCAATTTGGATGTTATCAGGCTTTTGAAAGTAGCTTTTGTTTTGTTTCTTTCGTTTATTTTTGAATTGTATCTTTCTTGAAGTGGGTATTCGTCATAACTATTCCCCTCGTAAACATGTGACATATAGCATGAATCGGCAAGCACAAAAAGGTTTGTTTTCGCTAGCTTTCAATAACACATTTGAAGTATGCATGATATGGCAGATTATATCTTTCGATGCGTGAGAAATTATTGCCGTTTATTGCTTTCACAATTAGTGTATTTTGAGCATCAATAGTTTGAATTGATTTTGTTACGGTAACATGTCTGTACAAATCAAGATTTTGTTGGAATTTAAGGGGGTTTTAAATCTACAAACTTTGTGCTGATTAAAGGAAAGTTAATTTCAATATCGATAGCCCTACAGAATTTTCTATTTAGCAAGATTTAGTTTTATTGTATTTTACTTGTAAGAAGTTTTTGAGGATTTTAAATATTTTAGAATTTGTAACAATAATAAAAATGTAACTACAGTTTTGGTATCAGTAGTGGTTGATGCTGTATTTGCAAATATGAGATTTAAATTGGAATATTTGGTCAGGAGAACTTAAATTAATTGATAGCACTGAAGTAAATTTCTTTTGAACTATTCCATATCTATATATATATATATATATATATATATATATATATTATAGTTAGATGTTTTTTTAGCAATGTGTTCTTTACATTATTAAATAGTTAAACATAGAGGAAAAATATAATGTGGGTCATATTATTTCTATATTTTAAAGAGTTAATACTAATATATTTTGAAGAAAATCATAATATAATAATTTGGTGTTAGTACAGTAGTTTCTGGAATAATTTTTAATATGATGTTAGAAATCTTGGTGGTGTCTTATTATGTGTATGTAAAAATAATAAGAAATGTCATTTAATATTTATTAAAAAATCTTTTTTGTCAAGTCTATTAAGATTAAAGTGGTTACTAGTACAAAATCATAGATTTAAATTTTTTTTATATAATCCCCTATTGTGCTTAATAACTTCAAATGTTTTGCATTAGCTAAAAAACCCACAAATAAGTATTAGTCAATGATTATGCAGCAATAAATGATCATTCACACAATAATGCTCAAACAAAATCCTTTATAATGAATTTATATTAATTATCTAGAAACAAGAACAAAAAATAGTGGCTATGGTGCATGTAGTAAGAAAGAGCTTAGGGTTGGATGAAGTTCTAGGTTTTGGACAAATACAAAAAAAAATATGTTGTGGAAAATTATATTTCTACTACATATCTAAATTCAACAATAAATCATTGGTTATCTTTTCAAATCTATAATCATAGTGTAACTCTCGACCATTTGCTACTATTTAAAGCTAATCAAAGTTGGTTTGTTTTTCTATTGTACTCAAAAAAAAATTAAACCATAAAGGTGACAAAATTTGTTAACAATAGGGGGGTTCAAATTTGGCACTTTTGAAAAACCCAATAATTGGGATTCAGCACTTGATATTTTGAGGATCACTTGAAATACCAAATCCAAAATATCACAATTTAAACTAATATTACCACTGATTTCAACTTTATTATCCATTGGAATGGAGTCAAAGAAGGAAGAGAATTGAGGCAAGTGAGGCAGTTTTTGATATTTCACCCACCGCTCTTTTGATATTTGGATTTTAAAATCACCCACCTGAGGTGGGTGATTTCGTGAAGTATCAAGTGATATTTCAAAATATCACTAGATAGTTTGAGATCTCATTACAGTAATCCTTAAGTCTAAATCCCCTTAATATGAAAGTTCTGAACCAAAAATCAGAATGCAACGAGCATTTGAAAAGCTTCTAAGCGTATGTGTGTCAATCCCATGACTGTCTCACGTAAGCAAAGCAGTAAGATATGGCTCCAAATTTTGGGATGAGATATTGCCAAATCCTCTAAAACACATCCTCGGTGAATATTCCTATTTGGTGCTTAGCACATTTCCACGCAGAGCTAGATTTACCCACTTGGCAACAGCGATTCCTGAATGGGTGGCTTGGAAATCCAGTGACGAATCACAACTGCCCTTAAAGATTTGTCAGATCATATCGACATCGTGTAGACTTCACTAGTATGTCCAAAACAACATGCGAAATCTGAGTGCTTTAAAACCAGAACTTATAAGGAATGCCGAATTTACTCGTTTGTCGACAAAGACAAATAAGAAATCATCTGAACAGATCCATAGACAAAATGCTCATCTGATCGCTGTATAGGAACTCAGTTAATTAAATTGAGGTTTTACAAGGTTGTGTGATATCGACAAATTATCATGCTCAGTATGATATACATTATTCATCTGCCCATCGAACGCCGTGCTTGGCTCCTAGGTAGTAGGCCCCGACTGGACCTCGACCACCGAAGGTATACATTTCCGGAGCCACCTTCAGCTCCTCAATCTCTTTCAGCAGCGGTGTAAGCAGATCCCATGTGGCTTGTAACTCGTCACTGCGGATAAAAAGATGGTTGTCGCCCGTGATCACGTCCAGGATCAAGCGCTCGTAAGAGTCTGGGATCACTTCGCCATCGTACCTGTTTCAATCATTCAACGGATCCATGAATCAATGTTTCTAAATCAAGCTGATGTGTAGTAATACTGTAGAAAATTATTGGGGAGGAATGATGAAGGTTATCTTACTTTTCTTTGTACAGGAGGTTGAGTTCGGAGGAGTCCAGCTGCGTGCCCAACCCGGGCACCTTATTGTTGATCTTCAGGAAAATTGCCTCTTCTGGCTGCACAGCGATGATGAGCTCGTTGCTGGCCATATCCATGTTCATGCCAATTTGTTCACGGTAGAGGTTTCCGGGGACGTGATGGAATTGGATGCGGATCTCCACTCTGAGGAGGGAATCCCACGTGTAAGTAAACTGTAAGAACTTACACAACTTTCTCTGCATGACAGGAGAAGGGGAGGAATAGAAGGATCGGACATATACTTGTGTTTGATGAGTCCATAGCCGGCTTTGATGAGGAAGGGAACCCCGTCCCAACGAGCATTGTCAATGTACAGGACTCCGGCGACAAATGTCGGAGTGAGGCTATTCGGATTAACTCCAGGTTCTTCCAAGTAACTACGAATTCTCGATTTTCCGTCCTTGGATACGCTGGCTTTGTATTGTCCTAAGCAGAAATCTTGCAGCGATGGCATCCGCATTGATCGTAGAACCTTGACCTGCGTAAAGAATTTTTTTTGTTGATGAAGCCAGAATATGATCACCAACAGACAGGATCGAAAACTAGTTTGCGACACAAAACTGGACTTAACAAGTGAGGGATATAAAACTTCGGCAATGATTGCTGAAAATCCATAAGAGTTTGCAAGTCAATTTGACACCATGCCAACGTTGAATGCTCTACCAGCAGCCAGGTACTGGAGTCAATGAAAAAATCAACGTAGCAGGCGAGAGCGTAGTGTGGACCTTCTCATTGCGGATGTCTTCATCGTCCAAGCTGACGGGCGGCTCCATAGCGAAGAGAGCTATCGTTTGCATTAAGTGGCTCTGTACAATGTCGCGGATGATTCCTTGCTGATCGAAATACCTGATCATTCACAAACAGATGCCATCATGTACTGCATTACTTGAGGTCGAAGATTGGGTGAAAGAGAGACATATTAAGACGCCACAAACTGCATCAAAGCTTCATAAAAACAGAACATACCCTCCTTTGCCTTCCATGCCCCAGTCTTCAGCCAGTAGCACCTGTGAACCATATGAGCAACCGCAAAGGATTAGACAATACGGAATCTCGAGATTCTAACATTCAAAGTCATTTCTTTACATGGTTGAGTACGCTTTAGGACAGAAATGTGAATCATATACTCACTTGGACACTTTTGATGTAAGTTCTAGTCCAGAGCGGTTCGAAAACCAAATTGGAGAAACGCAAAATAGTGAGATTTTCGATGAGCTCCTTTCCCAGGTGATGATCGATCCTGCAATGGAAAGAAGGTATTTCTTTACACAACATGGCATGAACCAACGAGAAAAAAAGAAAAAAAACAATCCGTAAAAAGCTAATATAATTCAGTTAAGAGACACTTGGAAAGACCAAAAATCATTAAGTTCTTTAGATCTACACTTCCGAATAAAACCTGAAACTTAGAGAAGCCAACAATAGAGACCTGTATATTTGACTTTCGTCCAGATGTTGCAAGAGACTGTCAGCCAGCTTCGCTGATGACTCGGAGTCTACGCCAAAGGGTTTCTCTACAATTAGCCGTGTCCACCCAGTTTTGCTTTCTGCATCTCTGCTCAGGCACTTGCTGACGTCTGGTACTACCTCATGGGGTACCGACAAGTAGAAGATGCGATTAGCTTCACCCATACCCTGGTGATATCAGCAAGAACCCTTTAAAATGTGAGAGTTTCCAACTTCATTAGACGCATGCTGAATTTTGTTCGACTGATTTATTTTAAAAAAAATGAGGTAATGAATTGATCAAACCTCTAGTTTCTTTAGCCGGCTGTCCAATTTTTTCATGCCATCACAAGTTGAATAGCCGCCTGACTCATAGTAGACACTCTGCAGAAATGTCTCCATGGCTTCCTCACATTTCTCACTGCAGATTGAAAGAAAACAGAGAAGCAAATCTGAGGCCAAAACTACTACCTTGCAAAACATGAGCCTCGTGCTGTAAAACTGGAAACAAAAACGATGAGCCCTACTGGAAAGTTATAATATAACTCATATGAAGTCACTGATCGCGTATGAGGTGACAAAAGGCGAAAGTACACACCCCTCATCAACTCGACAAGTCGCGCTCTCACTAAGCATATCTCGAAACTCCTCGTCCGTAAGTTCACTTCTCGAGTATCCGAAAATGGCGATTTTCTGCGCAAGGAAATATTCACACCAACTCACCCCTGCATGAGAATCTTAAAAACAAGGGGATCAATTGTATCGTATGAAGGTGGTGCAGCGTGAGAATTTCGCACAAAAAGTTTCTAATAACTTTGACGGAGCTGTTCCAAAACTGTAAAAAGTAGCAATGAGGAATTACAGCTCTTCCAGTTGAACAATTTCACTTCCGTGCTGCGATGAAATACATATACCTTGTACAAATTTCCGCTGTAGTAAAGAGCAAACAAAGCTGGAAAGATTTTGTTCCTGGCGAGGTCTCCAGTAGCGCCAAGCACAATTATACTCAAGAAGGGACTCGTGTTAGGCTCGTTCCATCCATGGTAACCGTCAGGAGACTCAAGGTTCTCCGGAACTTTGTTCCCATTCTCGGATTTCTCACTTGGTGGAGCAGTTGGCAGAGCTTGGCCATTAGCAACAGCTCCTGAAAACACAGAACTAATCACTAAACACAGAGCTTTTAAAGAGCTAGATTCGTCTCCAAAAGAAAAACGTAGAGAAAGGTTAGGTAATTTTCGAGTGAATTCATGTCAATTATTGCGTTGGGTTTATTCTCATACCTTCAGCTGTCTTTGTTTGCACACCGTGTGAATCAGTGGGAGCCGCTTCTGCTACAACCCGCAGCTTCCGTTCCAATTTTGTAGTCCTTGCGTTCTACTCGATTGAGTACACATGAACAGGTAAGGAAGCAGGTGTTATTCTAGAATCCAATGCACACATCTTTCAAAAGAAAATGTTCGTGCCAATTTCCAAGAGTTGCGGAGTAAACTCGAAGGGTTCTAGAGTACACAAAATATTTTCACTTATATATATATATATATATATATGCTTACTGAGCGACTGCGATGCTGCACATTGTGGATGAGTTTGCGGAGTCTCGAGTTGCGGCGAAATGTCGGAGAGACGCAAGGAAAGGTAGACTGGTCACAACCGTTGCAGCTCAGACGAGGGGAGAAAGAGAGGGCAGGTGCCATAGACGCAGCCATACTGCTCGCCATTGCGGAAAACACGAAGATGGGACCTAGTTCAAACTACAGAGAGTATTGCATTCGCGAGCAACTCGGAAAATGTACGATCGCACTCACAACACCGAGCGCTTATACGTGTGCGCAGAGGAAGGTTCACATCCGCCAACAATGCCCTACTTTAGTATACAATGACACTGGACAAAACGAAGCTCTGTACAAATAGCACTAAACCTCAACTTGAACAAACACAGAAATCCAAATAGACATCACCAAATCAACACAAACACTAAGCACAAAAACGTAGCAACTCGATGAAAAATCAGAAAACGCCCACTCTCCACAGCGCAGACACCACCCAAGAATTCAAAAGAAGCTCGAAGCAGCTCATCGCCGGCGCCTCCAGAGCGTTAGAAGACAGAGGTGCGGGGTGTCAGAGCCAGAGATGCGATCGATGGCGTTGAGATCGATTGGGCAACGTCTGCGGGATCGAATTGTGGGAGGAAGGATGGCATCGCAGCTGCGCTTGGGTTCAGTTTGCGTCAGAGCTGATTCGGCATAAAGCTGCTGCAAATAGCTTTATGGGGGATTGTTTGATGGGCGAAGAGACATGGGCAGTGAGTGAGTTACACAACAATTGTGCCCAGAAGATGCTTATCCGGATTTTTGTTGCTGACTGGAGCTGAATTGACTCCTCCGATGTGGGTCCGGATTCCTCGTCCAGGACGGGATTCCTCGTCGAGTTCCTCGACTGCGTCCCCGCTTTGCATCGCGACTGGCCTCATGCCTCGCTTGGTCGACCTAAGACCGTGGCTAGGGTTGTGAGGGTTTCGTTTCGGGCAGCACAAAACTGCTCTGAGTTCCTCTTCTGCGCAGATAAATATATTAGGGTCTATTTTCCATTATGTTTCCTTGAAAATCATGATTTATATTATTAATATTTAGTGCTAATACCAGAAAATATTTTCAAGTATGTGAAATTATCTTCTTTTCATTGCTCCATGGATGCACAACAGCATGAAAAACTAATTACATTTTTATATGATTGACATTGGTAAATTCAACCAAAAAATATATATATATATATATATACATACAAATATTTATTTATAAACATAAATTATTATTTTTTGTAAAATTTATAACAATCTTTGTGATTTAACTGAATTGCTAAATATCACTATTAGAATAATAAAAATAAACTTCAATTTTTTTAATTATTTATATATATATATATATATATATATATATATATATATATTATTCAATTAAAAAAAAACTTAAAGGTATCACATCTACAATGTGAAATACACTAAGATTATACAAACATAGTTTAAGACCAATGGATTTTATTTTATTATTTTATTATTAAAATTACAACTACAATATACATAGGGTATTGTAAATACCACCATAATTTTTGTTTTTGCCACATATATGCAAGTTTGGACTGCTCTTGCTATATCTTCTTTTGGCATGAGAGGAGAAATTTCTCAATAAAACCTTGATTAAATCATTTATACTACTTGAAATAGTTCTAAATTGTTTCTTTTAGATGCTAGTGGGGGAAAAAATATAAGAACTCCCAGTATTATTCTTTGAATTATTTTGCATCCAAAACCTTTTATTTTGCCGAAGAAAAAAACTACTGCAATTGTGATGTACATGTAGATTGCAATAAGAAGTCTGTATTTTCTTACACTTCATTTACTCCCATATTTCCAAATTAAATCAACTCCTTCAACATGTCTTTCAACACATTCCTAAAAGATCTAATCTTGTGTTTTCACCCTTCTAGCATTAGAATTAGTAGAAGAAATCACCAATCTAAAATCTATGATGGTTTTTGCAATAGATGGGTGCTTTCAACATACCAAAGATTGTGAAAAATAGATCTCTACCATTTTCTTGATTTGAAAAAAAAAAATAATAATTTGGATTCAGTTGAATTGATATATGAAGAGAGAAAAAATTACTCAAGATATTGAATTCCAAGACATTGGTGCTCAAAATGACTTTAGTGACATTGATAAGAATGTGGAGATAAAATTTGAATGACAAAACAAAAGAAAACACTTCTCAAATTAGTGAAAATTTGATTGCTACTCAAGCAATACAATTGAAGAGGGAAAGATCTATTTTAGTATACCATCATAATAAAAATGCCAACATTTAGTATGCAAAAAGCTTAATTAGACTAAAAACCTACCATTGAGGTTGAGAAGATGGTAAAAGACTTTAGAAGAAGAACAATATGCTTGCAACTACAACCAAAACATCACTTGATAGTCCTTCAAGCACTTATTTTCATTATCTCTCAAGATACTATGTTGGTAGTGATCTCAATCCATTCAGGCGTAATAGCTTGAAGACAATTCAACACATTATGACTAAACTCTCAATAAAAGTTCAGGTGTCAAGGACATGAATCTTGAAGAAAGAAAATCCTCAATACACTCTTTTTTCACTGAAAAGAACTAAAAAGTCACTCAAAGATGTTACAATATTGAACTAGAATAGCTATTGCCAAAAAAAAGAAAACTAGAAAGTCTTAAAACAAGACTAAGGACTAAAAATGTGTTGACAAGAGTAAAGAAGGCTTTAGTCTTGTCTCTATATATACTCTTAAGTAGGAGCTACATGGCAATGTCCTATAAGACCTCCAAAACGTATTGACTTTGCTAGTCACATGTCGTAACTTGCAAGATAAGTTATTTATGTATGCGCCACATAGTTAGCTTGTTCCACAAGCTATTATACGAAGTTAACTTGTTCCACAAGCTACCAACATGTGGTTAATTTGTTGACTAAGTTTCTATTCTACAAATACATCTAAAGTCAAAACCGCATCTATGAAGCTTCTAAATAGCTATTCTAGAAGTCTTTATGAAATTAATCTATATTTATCTACTTCTATCTAATCATATAAGTAACTAGTGATGTAAATACATATGTCCGTGATATTATCCCCCCTTCTCTTTTAAGAATGATTTCTATGAGGAGCAGTCATCATCTTTCATAAATCTTTGCAATTCTTCATCTTGATTTTGATGGATGTTTTGAATGAAAGGTCCTAACATTCTTTATTGCATTTGCAAGATTCGTTGTTGGTTCCCATGGCATTCGCTAATATCATATTCACACTAATAAACAAGATATTCCAACTAATTTTGGACTACATTGAATCTTAGACTTCTTCTACCTCAAACTCTTGATTATTATCCACTTCTATAGGAGGAGGTGGAATTTGTCTTCTTTTTGAGATATTCACTATCTTATACAACTCAAGAAGGGACATGTGAAATATAGGGTGGATCTTCATAGACTGTGATAGATGTAATCAATAAGCAACATGATTAATTTGTTCACAAATAGGAAAAGGTCCCAACCTACGATAGTCCAACTTATCATAAGAATGAGTAGTTTTGATAATGTGACAAAGTAACCATACCTTGTCACTTATATTGAATTGTGGTTGTTCTTTGAATTAGTCATCTGCATTGGATTTTTTTCATTCTTGAGCTTCCTTTAATTGTATCTTCATTGTTACATGTAGCTGTAACAAACGGTTTGTTATATCTTCCGCCGCAGGATTATCAACTTTTGAAAAGTCAAAAGTATCAAGTCATGGATGATAACCACAATTGACAAAGAAAGATATTTGTTGAGTAGAAGAATGTACTAAATTATTGTATGCAAACTCAGCCAATTGCAAAAGAGTTGTCTAATCATCTTAATGATAATTGATAGTATACTACAAATACTGTTCCATAACTTGATTCACTTGTTCCATTTCTCCATCAATTTGAGGATGAAAAGTCAAAGAGAGATTTATATCCATTTTTAAAAACTTAAATAAGATTCTTCAAAATCTTGATATAAATTGAGTCCTCCTATTTGATATAATATCCTTTGGCAATCCATGATAGCAATAGATATTGTCAATCAAAAGCTTGGCTATTTCTTTACCTGAAATAGATTTTGTACATAGTACAAAATATACCATTTTGGTGAAGCGATCTACAATTATGAATATAGAGTCATATGAATTTGAACTTGGAAGATCTCTAATAAAATCTATAGAAATGGAAGACCATGATTGTTTAAGTATAAGCAATGGTTGAAGAAGTCCACAGGATCAATGAGAAGGAGTTTTTGATCTTGAACAAATATCACATGACTAGACAAAATCTTTTACCGCCTTTCATATTTGCAACCACAAAAAATCTCTTTATATTAGTTTTAAAGTCTTATTTTATCCAAAATATCCGGCTGTTGAAAAATCATGATGAGCTTAAAAGACACATAATCGTGCTTCACCTTCTGGAATATATAAGCAATCTTCAAAATATAGTAGGTTGTTCTTGAATTCAAACTTTGAAGTGTCATAGGATTTAGAAGAAGTATTTTTGATATCATGAACAAGAAGATTAAAGGACATACTTGATTGAATTTGCTTGATAAAGGTTGAATCATAGTTAATGTTGATTTTATTTTTCAAAGATGAAAATGCTCGGGCTTCAAGAAAATTATACTTTATTGATCAAAAGATGCATCTCCTTCTTTTAGTACAAAATAAGAACATCTAGAAAGGGCGTCTAATAGACCTTGTTGTTTTTTGGGTCGATAAGTAATCTTGAAATTGAATTTGGATAAAGACATGTTCAAACGGACTTAACAATGATTCAAAACACATGCTAACATGAACTATTCAAGGTTCTTATGATTTGTATACACAATGATTGGACTTGAGGCACCTTCTAAATAATGATGTCATTCTTGAAATGAATGATCTCATAATTAATCTCGGTTGTTAAAATATTTTTGGAATGAAAAGCTACTAGATGGACTTTGTAATTTGTTCCCATTTGTGACAACATGGCACTCATAGCAAAGTCTAGCAAATCTATTTCCATAAAAAATATCTTTGAAAAGTCAATGCAATATAAGATTGGTGCAAAAATAAACTTCTTCTTTAAAACATCAAATGATGCTTCAGCTTCTTTATTCTACTTAAGTTTCTCTTTACAAGTCAAACATATAAGTGGAGTTGCAACTTGAAAAAAAGTTCTTGATGAAGATTCGGTAATAATTAGCAAAGTCCAAAAAGCATTGCATATCTCATACTGTCTTTGAAATCTTCTAATCTATAATAATTTGGACCTTCTTGAAATCCATCATAAGGCTTTTGTTGGAAATTATGTACTCTAAAAAGTCAACTTGAGTAATATAGAATACACACTTTTCCAACTTAGCATATAATCCTGTATCTCTAAGTTTCTGTAATATTCGACGAATAAGAAGTTTATATTCTTCTGTGTTCTTAGGATAGATTAGAATGTCATTTAAATAGCAAACAATAAAATTATCCAGAAATTCATAAAAAATATCATTCATAAGATGTTGAAAAGTAGTCGGTACATTTGTGAGTCCAAAAGATATGATATTATATTCAAAATATCCATATGTAATTTAAAAAGTAGTCTTCTATTCATATCCTTCTTTGATATGAACTAAGTTGTATGCTCCTTATAGATCTATTTTTGTATAGACCTTTGCTTGATTGAATTGGTCAAGAAGTCATGAAATCAAAGATAAAAGATACCTATTTTTGAT